GTGCGTAATTCCCTGTCTAAGCATGAATGGTTGATTGACTCTAGTTGTACCTATCACATGCCCCCCTTTAGAGATTTGTTTTCTACATATGAATTATGTGATAGTGGCTATGTTTCCTTAGCTGATAATAAGAGATGGAATGTGCTTGGTGTGGGTGATATATGTCGGAAGTTTTCTTGTGGCTCTGTGTTTACCATTAAGAATGTGAGGCATGTCCCTGATTTGTGTCATAACTTGTTATCTGTTGCTGCTTTGGAGAGTAGTGGTTTACAGGGAAAATGGGGGAATGGTTGCATGAATATCTTGAAAACTTCTCTTGTGTTGTTTAAAGTTGAGAAGGTGAATAACCTTTATGTGTGTCATGCTAAACCTTTTACTGAGTCTGTGAATGTTGTATGTTCTGATAAGACCTCTTTGTGGCATAATAGGCTAGGACATATGAGCAATAAGGGTTTAGATGTCATGCGTAGGGCTGGTTATTTTGGTAAGGACTCTGTGACTTCTGTGCCTTTCTGTGAATCTTGTGTGTTAGGCAAGCAGCATAGGGTCAGCTTCCCTCCATCCTCTTAGCCTAATTTGTCTAAGTGTTCGTCTGTGCTTGAATATGTTCATGCCGATGTTTGGGGTCCTGCCAATGTTCCTACCCACGGGGGTAGGAAATATTTCCTTTCTATTATTGATGATTTCTCTAGGAAGGTGTGGGTTTGCCTTTTAGAACACAAATCTGATGTGTTTGTGAGGTTTAGGGAGTGGATATGGGTGCTGAATCTGATTTTCATGACAACAATAATTTGCATGAGTTGCATGTGGAGCCTAGTAGTGATAATTTGCATGATTATTAACTTGCTAGAGATAGGGATAAAAGGGCTATTAGGAGAACTGCTGATAGTATGCCTGATTATGCTTTCATTGTGCATGATACTTCTATGTTTACATTTTATGTGTTTGAATCCCTAGAGCTGAATGAACCCAAGACCTACCGTGAAGCCTTAGGTTCCAAAGAGTCTCAGAAATGGATTAGTGCCATGAAAAGTGAGATGGACTCTTTGAGAGTGAACCAGACTTGGACCCTTGTACCTAGACCCCCCAACTGTTCGGTAGTTGAGTGTAAGTGGTTGTTTAAGGTTAAGGAAGAACCTAGTGATGTTAGGTTTAAGGCTAGGTTGGTTGCGAAGGGGTTTACTCAAAAAGAGGGGGTAGATTATGCAGAAATCTTTGCTCCTGTTGTTAAATTCACCACTATTCGTATGATGCTTGCTTTAGTTGCTCACCATGACTGGGAAATGAAACAAATGGATGTAACTACTGCTTTTTTGCATGGTGAATTGGACAAAACAGTTTATATGACCCAGCCTGAGGGCTTTGTGGATCCCAAGAGAAGTGAGCATGTCTGTTTGCTTAGGAAGGCATTGTATGGCCTGAAGCAATCCCCTACGCAATGGAACATCAAATTTGATAAATGCATGATATCTTTGAAGTTCCAAAAATCTGTTTGTGATCATTGTCTGTATTTCAAAAATACTTCTTCCGTGCCTGTATTTTTGTTACTCTATGTGGATGACATGCTGATAATTAGTCCTTCTCTGAATGCTATCAAAGATGTGCAAAAATGTCTTTGTGCGAATTTTGCCATGAAAGACCTTGGTGATGCCAAGAGGATCCTAGGCATAAACATTGTTAGGGATAGGAGTAAGCGTACTCTTACTTTGAATCAGATTTCTTACATAGAAAAAGTTTTGAGTAAATTCAATATGTTATCTGCTTCTCCTGTTAATGTCCCTTTGGCATCTCACTTTGTGTTAAGTAAGGACCAGTCTCCCAAGACTGCTCCTGAAATTGAGAAAATGAAATCTGTGCCTTATTCTGTGCAATAGGGTCGGTGATGTATCTCATGGTTAGCACTAGACCTGATATTGCATATGCGGTTAGTTGCTTGAGTAAATATATGTCCAACCCTGGTTTGCCCCATTGGAATGCTCTTAAGTGGTAGCTTAGATATCTGATTTCTACTGTGAAGCATGGATTAATTTTCTCTAAATGTGCTAGTGGTGTTGAATTGATTGGTTATGTTGATTCTAACTATGCAAATGATAGAGATAACAGGAAGTCGACCACTTCTTATGTTTTTACTTTGTGTGGCTCTTGCATTAGTTGGAAGTCTCAACTACAGCCTATTGTGGCCCTTTCTACCACTGAGTCCGAGTATGTTGCAGCCACAGAAGCGTTTAAGGAAGCCATCTGGCTCAAACGCCTTGTCTCCGAAATTGGGTTTCTCAAAATGGGAGTTACCATTTTCTCGGATAGCCAATCGGCTATCCAACTTTGCAAAAATCCTGTATTTCATGATAGAACTAAGCATATTGATGTTAGGTTCCATTTCATACGTGATATCGTTGATGCAGGTGGAGTCAAGCTGTGCAAGATCCCGTCCGAGTTTAATCCCGCGAATATGGGTACCAAGTGTCTTTCTGCTGAGAAACACTTGTCCTGTAAATGCGTGTTAAACTTTGATTGTGGATAACTGTGGGTTGCCTAATAAAATGTTTGCTCATTTTATCTGTTGATATTCCGGGTGACCTGGCGATGATGAGTCTCCTCACAACCTGTTTTGCTACTCTACACCACCTAGGACCAATAAGGTGGAGAATGTTGGAGGTATTGGTCCTACCAAGACCTCCCTTCCACTTTATTATTAAGGCTTGCACCCCATGTTTACTCCCACTTTGATTCCCTTAGTTGAAATCACTCATTGGTGCCTGTTGACTTACAATATGTGAGTCCCTTTGTGTGTTGTCCGCTGCAGTGCTCTATTGTTGTCTTGCTACCCGTGACTGTCCTTCAGTTTACCCGTGAGTGTCTTGTAGGCAGTCAGCCTACTATATCTGCGACCCTTGGTTCTTCTCTGCAAATTAAGCCTGCGTGAATTCCTCTTCCAGAGAGCAGTGTCTTCCTTCTTCCTTTCCTTGTGTGAGAGTTCCTTTGTGGAGTGAAGAAGAGTGAGTAAACATGGGAGGTGTTGTGGCTTAGCCCTAGAGGGTGTGTGTGAGTTTAGTCAAGAGTGGTTGGAGACCTGAGCCGGAGACGGATACGATCCTAACAGCTGTTATTCCCTTTTAATTTAACAGGGGTAATTTGGATATTTGAGTTGTTTTTATTTATTTTTATTTATTTTTATTTTAATTATGTGGCTGCCAATAATGATTTGGGGGTTGAGAATAGAATTACTCCTCCTTTTTTACCGAACAGGCACCAAGCCTACAAGCCCATGATAGGACGCCTAACTACGAGGAGTGATTCCCCATTGAGCACGAGCTTCCTTTTTTTTCCCGGAGTTGCAACCTCATTTTTTTTTGGATAAAGGCGGGAGCTGCAACCTCAAATCCTATGGGAAGGGAGCAGGGTCAAAGCCAAGGCACTGGGCCGAACTAGACCTGCACAAAGATTTTTTTTTTTGAAAAATTTATACACAGAATTCTTTACATTAAAAATACAGAAATTTTTCAAATTTGGGCTGAGCCGAGCCCAGGGTTGGCTCCCTAGCTACGCCACTGGAAAGGAGTCAACATCGTTGCTAGAAGAAAAGAGCTCGTACTCCAATGGAACCATTTATAAATCAAAATTATGGAGCTATATTTTTGTAGTTATCTTTAAAATTTTATAAATAATTTATAAATAATTATAAAGAATTTAAAAATATAAAGAATAAGAAATAATTTGAGTCACATATTCTTTGTTGTGCACTATAACAGAAAATGTAAGACTATCTTCAATGTTACAATGTGCACGGTGCACATGTGACGTGAAAAAGATAGACAAACAAATACGGAGTATTAGCCCCCCCCCCCCCCCCCCCAAAAAAAAAAAAATAAGGAATTTTAGTAAACAAAATAACTCTATCTTTATTTGAATGGTCTTCTATGTTTTTGGTAGGTTTTTTTCTTCATAATGTCAAAAAAAGTGTATAGATGTAGATATTGTCTAGATAATGTTATCCAATTACGTAAAATCGTGGAAGACAGAAAAATATCATTAAGTTATTTTTATATGTTTCTCTCTCATGCTACATGTGTGCCGTGCCATACATATTGTTGCATTGAAGATTCTCTAAGGTATATAAAATAAACAAAAAGGGATAGAATAAAATTTTATTTGAAAGTGAGATTCCAAGTCTTAAATAATTAACGAGGAGCAAACTCTCTCTAAAAACGAGAGTTTCTCTCTCTAGGGTGGGTTTCCGCTACTAGGGTTTTTCCTCCGCTATCGTTTGTAATGAGGAGCGGCCGCCACAGCCCATAGGCGGGCTTAAGCGTACATGGTTTCTTCTTCCGTCATCAGTTGTGTGGTCATTTTTCTTTTTTTGCTTTGGTGAGATTTAGCTGAGGGAAGAGGATGTTTGGTCTCGAGCGTCTGAAGGTTGTGCAGGGACGTACGAGAGACAGATGTTTGGTCTTCAGCAGCCAAAGGTCGTGGACGAAGCGTAGAGATAGAGGCTAGAACAAATATGGATTCGAAGTCAGTCGTGATAGGTGGTGACAGAGGAGGCTTGGTAAAAATATGATGAACAAGAGGCAAGACGAGGAAGCAACTACAGTACTGTTGGATCGTCTCCCTCCTGAATCACCACCATGGAGTGCAGGAGAATCTAGAGTTTGGAAGCAACCTTTTAATTTTACTGTTTGCTTGCTATTTATTTTTCATGATCAGACTGTTTATTTTCGTATTGATTACTTTTATTGTTGTAAGACTCTTATATTCAGATTGGGTGATGAGAGACATACTTTAATCATCATTGTCTCATTTGCTCATTTTAGGATAGCGAGTCATATTAATTTGTGAGAGTGATTGACTGTAAGTCTGTTTAGAGGGCAGGTTGCAACATATAACTACTTCTGTCATTTACATCCTACCAAACAAATAAAATTGACTTTTGTTTGGTTTCTTTTTTAGCTTTTTTGTTGGGAAGTTAAGAGAGCAATAACGGCTGAAGATTCGGACCTCTGATGGGTGTGACTAACCAATTGAACAGAGACAAATGAGAAACTTTGGCATCTCTTTTATACTTTTTCTTTATATTTTTTCCATTTTTCATATGGACTATGGACGCTGTACCAAATTCGGACGAAGCAATATCCTTATTTTTTCGTTTTTTCATATTAACAAAACTCAATCTGGCCAAAGCGTTAGCAGATCTTGGCCGTCTGATTATGAATAACGAATGATCCTCTCCAGATGACACGTGTTGCCCAGCATCTCTTCTTATTTGCTTCCCTGCATGGAATTCTCCTCCAACTGTAACTCCCCAAACAAGAAGTATGATGTGAGACGGAGTCAGTAGAGAGGAAATAAACCTAGAAAGTGCCTTTGTTTTTTGCTTGCAATACTCCATTTTGATCACTTTTTCTTGGGTTATCTTTTTTACTATGTTGGATTCTTGAAATTCTTGGCAGTTTTTTTGAAGGAGAAAAAAGCGGGTCTGATCTTTTGCTTTGATTTCAAGAATGCTCCCAAATCTGGCCAGTGATCTGTGTGGAATCCAGATTTGAGCTCAAGTCTGATCTGGGCTTCTTCTGTAAGTGTCTTTACTAGATCAATAGACCTTTCACTGTTCTCAAGATTCGAGCTTTTTCTCAAACTCCAAATGTTTATTTTTATTCTTTTGCTAATATTATATTCTCACCAGTTTGAATTCAGGGTATGCCTGGGAATTTTTTCAGGATGGAAGATCATAATCATCAAGACTTGAAGTTTGTGTGCAAGCAGTGTAACAAGAGGTACCCTTGTGGGAAGTCATTGGGAGGACACATGAGGTCTCACGTGGCTCCGAATTCAGCTGATTTTGTTGTGGAGGAGAACAAGAAACTTCATCACCAACAATCATCAAGGTTTGGGCTTAGAGAGAATCCCAAGAAGACTTGGAGGGCTGTTGTGGGCTCCACCCCCACCCCCACCCCCACCCTTTCACAATCACAAGAAAATGCCTGCAAGCAATGTGGGAAGGTCTTCCAATCGCTTAAGGCCTTGTGTGGTCACATGGCTTGTCATTCTGACAAAGACAAAGGTGGTGGTGGTGTTAATAAAGATGATGATGATAAGTCTTGGTCTGAAATCGAAAGTGATTCCGATTCAGATGAGGCTGTGGATGAGGAAGAACAGATCCCCTTGAGTGACAGGTCAGCAAATCTCAGTAAGTACAAGAAAATTGTTATCAAATATAATAATAACAACACTAATAGTGTTGGCGGTTCATCATCAGTTTCTGAGATTGATTCTCAAGAACAAGAAGAAATAGCCAGGTGTTTGATGATGTTGTCAAAGGATTCTGGGAACTGGAATGCTGGTTCTCTTGTTGTTAATAATTCTTCAATTGTGGAGTTTTCAGATAATAACTCTGTTGTCTTGGAGACAACTAAATCATCATCCATTGACATGAAGAGTTGTAAGAAAGATTCTGTCTTTATTAATCCCAAGAAAATTGAAGAAGATAGGAAGAAACTGAAATCCAACAATGATAATATGGTTGAATTTGAATCCCATAGTTCCGATTCAGGGTACTTTCTGGGTGAAAACAAGGACGAATCAGACATTTCTGTTAACAGGATAAAAGGGTATTATTATGACGATTCTGTATTCACATCAAGGAAGTATGGGAAGCAGAAGAGAGCAAATAATGACACTTCTTATGATCCTGAAATAGAGACTAGGGGAGCTTATAAGAAGGGTAAGATAGTCTCTTCAGGTGCTAATAATAAGAAGTATGAGTGTTTGAATTGCAAGAAGAGTTTTGGCTCTTATCAGGCTTTAGGTGGACACAGACCTTGCCACAAGAAAACATATGCCGATAGGGAGTCAGGCTATGGAACGGGCGAAAATAGCTTAGAGGGGGATGATGAGGCTAGGGAGTGTTTGGCTGGTGGTGGAAAGAGAGGAAATGCTGTTAAGGGTTATTCATCAATAGAGAAGAATGGTATTAAATTCAAGAAAGGGAAAGGTCATGAATGCCCATTCTGTCATAGGGTGTTCAAGTCTGGACAAGCTTTAGGTGGTCATAAAAGGTCTCATTTCATTGGCGGTTCTTCTCATGTTATGAATGGTTCAAACCAAACTTCAGCTTCTGCTTCCAGGCCAGAAGAAGTAGAAGAAGCTCCTGATTTGCTTGATCTTAATCTTCCTGCTCCGGTCGAGGATGATGAAGATGAGCAGTTGATTTCTTGGTAGATTTCTAATAACAGAATTGAATTGATTTTGGTGATTTAAAAATTCCCAAAATTTTGCATACTTCTAAACCCCAAGAAAATGCCTCATTTGGTTTTGGTCACAGTTTGATGAGTTTCATCCATTTTCTTTATCTGCAGATAATAACATTATGTCCTAGTCACTGTTTTTTTGTTGTATAGACAATTCATAGCTTAATTTACCCCATAATTCTTTCGTTTCTCTATTAAAGCTGCTCAGAAAAGTTCATTGCCTTCATCTCCTAGCTGCTGGTTTATCTTCTTGTTTAGACAATCAAGTAATCAACAGCTTAATTCCTACAAAAATTCTTGTGCTCATCTCGAATAGAAGTTGGTCATTTCACTGTGTTAGTTCCTAACAATTTCAACTAATTGCTGAGTTTTCTTTGTATATAGACAAATTCACAGCTTATTTCTTTGAGATTCCCAAGTATTTATTTATTAATTATTACCTCCGTCCACACAACTTTGTAAACTCTATGTTAAGTGGGAAATTACAAAACTAAAAATCATGTAATTGATATTTGTACAGAGGAGAGAGAAATGAATAGTCACAAATTCCTTTGACCACTTAGACTCTATTTAGGGAATTATCCCAAACATTTATCATATGTGTGTGTGGGGGGGGGGGGGGGGGGGGGGGTACATACTGAAAACATTATAGACTCCCCTTTGGTTTTTGCTCTATTGGTTGGCACGAATATCTATTGGTTTTCTTTTCTTTTTGTGTTCTTATTTTTTATAACTTTTCTCTTTTTATGTTTTCATTTGTTTGTCCCATAGAAAGAGTTTTTTTGGTAATGAAGTCTCTATAATTTGTTGCACGCGTTGGTTTTTTGTTTATTTTATTTTTGTTTTTTCATGTTTTCTTTTATTTTTCTTTCTAATTTTGACCTTATTCCCTTGTCCACCATATTAGAATTGACTATTTTTCTCATAGTCATCAATTTACTGTGTGGTGCATTCATCATTTTTTTTCCTTCATCCCGCTGAGTTTATTAATTTTCTTTTACTTAAATTCCCCTTACCACTTAGGCCCTTATAAAGAAGTTTTTTCTTGTTTATATTTATCTTCCTTGTATTTTTCTTCCAATCTTCTTTATAATTTCACTCCTTCCCTTGTCCGCCCGCTCTATCAGGATAGAAGAGATATTTTGAATTTTTTTAATCCTGTAGTAAACCATCCTCAGATGGGGTAAGGGACTAAGGGGTAAAAAACACCTTACCGGTTTATTTATTAAAGATGATGGACCATAAAGAACAACAATGGATCCGAACAATGAACCCAATAGTGTTGGTAAAACCATTTTAGGAGTGAGCAACGTTGAGAGTAAGTTGGTTATAGGGGGTTGTTTCCAAGTGGTAGAACAAAAGGAGTAATAGGGGATTTTTGGGGGTAAAAGAGAAGGGGTAGGTGTTAAGATCCCTTGGGATGTTGTATACAAAGATATTAGAGAATGATCACATAACAAAGAAAAGACTTGTGTTTTGCCCATATAGAATTGTTGTCCTTGAGGCTACCAGATGGAGTATATGGGTCTGAGCCCCAGGACCCACATACTCAGAAGAACAGAAAGCACAAGACACTGAGTGGTGCCCTCGTCGGCCAAGGGACCCCCGTCGGCCGGAAAGGTACCAACTCAGAATATGGTCCTGAAGCCAAGGAACCCGGGTGCCCTCGTCGGCCGTGCCCTCGTCGGCCGTGCCCTCGTCGGCCGTGCCCTCGTCGGCCGTGCCCTCGTCGGCCACGCCCCCGTCGGCCACGAAGACCTCGCAGAACCGGATTTTACACTTACTCATTTGTACAACCCATTAGTGGCTTTGTATTCGGCCCAGTAGCGGTCCAGTTGTAAATGGGCCTCCCAAGCCCAAGGCTTGGGAGCCCAGCCCGTATTTTGCCTATAAATACTTCCTCTAGAGGTAGTTATCAGGGTTACAAAATCATTCTATTGAAGCATATTATTGCACTTCTCTCTCTAGCTCTCACTTCTCTCTAGATATACTCTATCATTTGGTGCTTTCATTGAGAGGTAGAACAATCAAGTTAGCACCCTTCGTCGCTACCAAGCACGGCTAACCACTGATCATGGGAAGAACTAAGTCAAACCGCAACCTCGTCAGCAAGGCCATCCCTGAGGACCAGGAGACCAGGGAGCACGAGGAGGATGCTACGGCCGACCAGGTCGGCGGAGGGGACGTCTTCCAAGAGGCCATCAACCTCACGACGGACCTCCGCAACCAACTCAACGGCGGAGCCCCTGATGCCCGCATCGGCTTGGACAAGAAACGAGCTGAGAAGACAGACCACGCCCCGGCCCAGCCTATGGCCGCGGCCTCTCCGTCTGTGGATCCATAGGTCCAGGCCGCGCTGTCGGTCATCATCGCCAGCTTGGCCCAGAACCCCACCGTCCTCAGTGCTCTCTTGCCAAGGACCGGGGGGGAACGTCACTCCACCTCCTCAGCCCCAACCGTTGGCCGTCCAGATAGGCAACGATGAGGGTGTGATGGCCCAGGACACGGCGTCGTCCCACTCCCACCCCGCTTCCCCTCTTCGGCCTGGGCAGACCCCAGCGCGTGGAAAAGCCTCTGCCTTCAATAGGCTAGGTGACACGCGTCGTCGTCCGGTTTTGGAGAGGATGGCAGGGCGGATTGGTGAGCGTCGGCCTGGCTCGCCAAGGGAAAGCTTGGGGTCTGTGTCCCGGACAGCGGACCAGCCCCGCCCGGACAAGGGCAAGGGGAAGCTGCACGAGGACGACGTGCGTCACCAGATCAATGCGGCCCACGACGAGCGCATGAGGAACCAGCAGGGCGCCGCTGCGGCCGCCAGGGACCCCCGGGACGAGGTCATTGCCCAGCTGGAAAGGAGGCTGGCTCAGATGGAGGCCAGGCAGTCGGCCAAGACCCCCACGGCTGGCGCCTCCAACGACCCCGGCCTCAACGCTCTCATGCACAAGGTCAGCGCCCTGGAGAGGGAGTTGGCCGAAGGGCGAGGTGACCCCATCATCCAGGTCAGGACCAGGACCCCTTTCACCAACAGGGTGCTCTCGGCCCCCATCCCGGAAAAGTACAGGGGGAACGCCATCAAGTCTTACGATGGCCGATCAGACCCCCAGGAGCACTTCAGCCGCTATCAGAGGTCAGAAGTAACTACCTCAGGGCCTACGGGGCCGGGGTGTTACAAATGGTATCAGAGCAACCCTGCGACAGTGTGTTGACCCGTTAGATATCGGGCAGGCACTTAGCGGGGCAAGATTCTGGGGTTTGATTGAGAGTGTTAAGGGCGCAACGAGGACGTTGCGATCCTAAGTGGGGGTGATTGTAATACCCGAGATTAATTTAAGAGGATTAATAGTACTACTCATACCAACAAGGTGCATCTCCTTTTAAGGGAGCTCATTAGCCAAGAACTCTAAAGTTAAGCGTGCTTGCACGGGAGTAGTCTTGGGATGGGTGACCCCCTGGGAAGTTTCTCAGGGCGCGCACGAGTGAGGACAAAGTGTGCGGAAAAGGCTAGTGGCGGTTTGTGAGGACAGTACTAGAGGTCAGAAGTAACTACCTCAGGGCCTACGGGGCCGGGGTGTTACAGCGCTCCCCGAAGGGAGTATTGACTCATGGCAGGACCTTGCTCAACGCTTCCTTACCCACTTTGCCGGGAGGAAGCGCGCGAAGAAGTATTTCACCCACCTCCTCTCCGTCAAACAGCAGCATGATGAGTCCCTCCGGTCGTTCATTGATCGGTGGACGAGGGAGACCGAAGAAGTCGAGGGGGCCGATGAGCGCACCCTCCTCGTCCTGTACCAGGGAGCCCTCCGTAGCTCCCCATACGCCAGGAGCCTAATCACCGACCCTCCAAGGTCGTACGCCAAGGCGCTCCAGCGCGGAAGCTTGTACGCCGACGCCGACGAGCTCCAGAACCACAAGAAAGAGGGAGGCCATCCCTCCAAGAAGACAAATCCTTCGCCGGCCCCGGGTCCGTCCCCGGCCGGCCAGGGTGCCCAGGGCCGTCACGGCTCTGGTGGACAAAGTAAGAAAGATCGCCACTGGCGGCCAAGGTTGGAACGGCCGGGGGTTGCCCTCACTCACCCGGTCGGCACCATCCTCGACTATGCCGAGAAGCATGGCCTTATCGAGCAGGCTCCTCGGCCGGCCGAGGAGGTCCTCGCCATCCAGCAGGGCGGCACATACTGCCGGTTTCACAAGAACTCCTCGCACAACACCGACGACCGCATCACGCTGAAGAAAGCCATCGAGCGCCTTATTCGTCAGGGGGGACTCTCCCAGTTTGTTAAAGGTGGCCCACGCAAAAATACATGGGTAAACACCGGCAAACCAGGGGGCGAACCCTCTGCGAAGAAGCGGGAGATCGGTAGGCTCAGCGACGACGAGGACTTCGAAGGGCCCCGTCAAAGAAGAACCACATTCACCTCATTGTGGGTGGGAACACTGGGGGGGACTCCGCCACCCAGAGGAAGAAATGGGCCCAGTCCCTCTACATAGGGGAGGTGTCCCACGTTCCCCTTAGCCGAAGAAGCAGCGAACGGAGGCGATCACCTTCACCGACAAGGATCTGCCTCCGGGTACGGAATCACACAGGGATGCCCTCGTCATCCGGTGTGAGATCGGTGACACCATCATCCACCGCACTTACATCGATACGGGGAGCTCCGTCAACGTGATGTACCTGGACACCTTCAGGCAGCTGAAGATGGACAAAGCTCTGCTGAAGCCGATCAAGACACCGTTATCCGGCTTCACCGGGGACTCTATCGACGCCGAGGGCACGATAGTCCTCCCCGTGGAGGTCGGTGACGGCCCCCACCGCGCCAAAATTGACATGGAGTTCATGGTGGTCCACCTCCAGTGCGCCCACAACCTGATCTTAGGGCGGCCAGCACTGGCGGACTTGGAGGCCATCATCTCCATGAAGCACTTGTGTCTGAAGTTCCCCACCAATGACGGCATCGGCTACGCCAGAGGAAACCAGAGCATAGCCAGAGCATGCTACCTCAAGCTAACAAGGCCGCCCGAAAGGGAAGGACAGAGGATAGACACCATCACGGCAGCCGTTGCCAAGGACGAGGAGAGGCCGCATGCTGAACCGGCCGAGGAGGTCGAGGAAGTCCCTCTGAATACCTCCTGGCCGGAGCGGGTCCTCAGAATCGGGAAGCAGCTCCCACAGGACCAGCGGGACGCCATTCTCCTCGTCCTACGGTCATACGCCGTTGTCTTCGCATGGGG